GTTTTACTACCCAACGGAAAACCAAAATATCTAATCAGAGCCAAATGATATAAAGACGTGTCTGAAAATCTCAAAATACCGAATATTGAGGAGTACAAGCATATGAGGTCTATACCAAAACGTGAACCGATATTGATAATTGTTGATGGCAAGGGTGGCAAACCCAAAGGGAACTCAAAATATGGAATTAAAGCCTCCTCGGATGAAAATAGGACTCAAAATACCCAATAATGGGTGTACCGATTGATAATTTTTGGTGCAGCCAATTCGAATAAAAAACGAGTCTCAAAACCTCAAAATACCAAATATTGGGTGTATGGGGGTTATACCAAAACGTGGACCGATATTGATAAGATTTGCTACCCAATGAGAATCCAAAATATTAAATTACAGCCAATTCGAATGAAAAACGAGTCTCAAAACCTCAAAATACCGCATATTAGGGGCCCCAGGCGTACGAAGACCGATTGACAGATGTTAAGAATTTTTGGTAGGAAAATTCGGCATCCAATGAGTACCCAAAAATATAGTTAAAGCTTACTTGGATGTAAAACGGCCCAAAATATCGAATAATGGGGATACTATAATATGGGCGGGCCATCCTAAAACATGGACCAATATTGATCATTTTTGCTATCCAGATTTTCTACCCAATGAGAACTTAAAATACCAAATAATAGACAATTCGGTTGAAAAACATGTCTGAAAACCTCAAATTTTCGAATAACTTAGGGTACCTTTGTCACCCACCCTGAATTTTGCACCAATACTGGTAGGCTTATTTGCCACCCAATGAGATTCCAAAATACCAAATTACAGTCAATTCGCTGGAAAATCCTCACCAAAATTCCGAATAATAGGGGTACCTTTGTATGGGGGCCAACCTGAATTTTGGACCTATATTGATAATTTTAGGTAGGAAGATTTGCCAGCCCATGAGAATACAAAATATCAAATGATAGTCAATTTTGCTTAAAAACATCTCCGAAAACCTCAAAATTCCAAATAACTCAGAGTTCCTTTGTATGGGAGTTAACCTGAAACTTGAACCAATGTTGATCATTTTTGGTAGGAAGATTTGACAGCCAATGAGCAACTTTTTTATTGTGTTTATGGAGGCTATCCTGGACCGATTATATAGACCATAAAAGAACTACATCTGTATGAAAACAAACAATATGAGTAAAAAATTGAACGATTTAATTTAATAAGGTTTTTATTTTACAGAGGGAAGGCAGCCAGCCAGCCCATAAACAACCAAATTGTTGATCAATAGAACACACCATATCAAGCAAATTAATTCCTTCCAAAAAAAAAAAAAAAAAACACTACTTGTTACGAATGTGTCCCCACATCCCAACATAAATCAATCATCAATCAGTGTTTCAAGAAACATGTTTGAAATTATAATTTACCAGGCAGCAGAATTGTTGCTTCAATGTGGGGAGGTGGTAGTTAGCTGGTGGTGACAGCATTAAAAAAGCAAATACCACACATGTCATCACAACAAATAAAACCACAAACAACGACCACCACAAATAAAAAAGTACCAAGCAAATTCATATGGAAACACAGCACATGGCTCAGTGGTAATGATAAAGCGCCAAACGTGAACAACAACAACAAGAAAAAATTGAACCACATGCTTTTTATTCTAGCTTTTTCCTTATCAGCACTGTTCGTGGTGCCACGTTCTTTGCACATTCAAATTGGCTAGTAGGTATAAAGAAAAAAAAACGGTGTGGTACACTTCTTGATGACAATTGTCCATCAACGAAGTGGCTTAATTATTATTTATTTTAAATTTCAACAGGAGATTTAATGGGAAAAGGTGGACCAAAGGAAGACCCAAAAGAAGTTTATAACCTACTTAGAGGATTATAAATTAATTTTGTAACCATAATCGGATGGCAATACAAGTGAACTTAAAAATTACTGATATTAAAATTATAGAACTACTATACAATTGGCCCGAACCCGGATGGTACGTTAAATCGGAAATTTTTCGCACTATAAAATATATTAGGCCACTATGTCCAGCCTATTGATCATATTCTAATTAGAGCCAATTCGATTGAAAAACGTATCAGAAAACCTTAAAATACCGAATATTGGGGGATATAGGTGTATGGGGGCTATACCAAAACGTGGACCGATATTGATAATTTTTAGTGACAAGATTTGCCACCCATTAAGAATCCAAAATATTAAATTACAGTCAATTCGGAGCCTCAAAAACTCAAAATTCCGCATATTGGGGGCCACAGGCATACGGGGGCTATACTAAAACGTGGACCGATGTTGCTGATTTTTGGTGGGAATGTTTGCCATTCAATGAGAAACCAAAATGTAGAAATAAAATTCACTCGGATGAAAAACGGTACCAAAATACCGAATAATGGAGGTACTATAACATGTAGACTGAGTATTTGTTCAATTGGACCCATAAATGTGATGATACGTTGCAATATGCATGTACTATTTACAGATCAGAACACCGAGTGGAATAGCCAAGATGCCTTTATTGATCGGCTCATAAGAAGAGAATCGGCTACATTTTTAATAGATTTTTCTCATATAAGGACTTCCAGGACATTTCTCCAAATACTTTTCAATGGCTTCCCATTGTTGAATACTTCCTAATTTCCCCTCAAAATTAATTTCACATTTTCTTTTTTTTTTCAAGTGACTCACACCACTGTGACAACTCGGTGTGTGTTCCACAGCAGCTGCTTGCTTATCAGGCCAAGTCGTATATTATGGCAAAATATTTTCTAAACGTGTGCATGTGTGTGTGAAATCCCAGATAAACTACGCGCGCATATGACAACAGTTTCGAAAAATGTCAGATATATAGGCAAGGGAGGTAGAGAAAAGGTACCCGGCATACACGTACGTGCGTAAATTGCTATAATTTGTTAGCCTGCCAACACATAAAGCAATACAAAATTTAAAACGATGTTAAAAAATTAGGTCTATGGCTGACACGTGAATTTTGGAAGAAAAAAAAATAGATTATGATTATCTTAGTCCATCATGTGCGCTAAAATTAGAAAAGATAATGACAATTTTCAGAATTTTATTTGGAGTACCTATATATCACAAACAAAAATAAATAAACGTCATTAATTCCGCACGGGCCGATCTCTTTGTATCCTCAAAATACCAAAAAAAATATAGGGTATCTTATATAGGGGCATGATTTGACACCCAACGGAAAGCCAAGATCTAATTGGAGGCAATTCGTTCAAAAAAGTTCCTCAAAACCTCAAAATACCGCATATTGGGGCCACAGGCGGAGGCTATACGAAAAGGTTGACCGATGTTGAGCATTTTTGGTAGGAAAATTTGGCATCCAATGAGTATCCAAAACATATAGTTAAAGCTTACTCGGATGAAAAGCGTGTCCAAAATAATGAATAATTGGGATACTATAATATGGGCCCACAGCCTGAAATTTGGACCAATATTGAATTTTCAAGGTGGAAAGATTTGAGACCGAACGAAAAACCAAAATATCTAATTAGAGGGAATTCGCTGAAAAATGTGCCACAAATCACCATAATTCCGAATATTGGGCGGAACATTTATATGGGGGCTATACCAAAACGTGGACCGATGTTGATAATTTTTTGTGACAAAATTTGCCACCCAATAAGAATCCGAAATATCAAATTACAGTCAATTTGGATGAAAAACGTCTCTGAAAACCTCAAACTTCGGAATAACTTAGGGTACCTCTATATGGGGGCTAACCTGAAACTTGGAGCAATGTTGATAATATTTGGGTGGGAGATTTGACATCCAATGAGACCCCAATATAGCAAATTCGCTTGAAAATCCTCACCAACATACCGAATAATAGGTGCACCGTTCTATGGGGGCCAACCTGAATTTTGAACCTTTATTGATAATTTTTGGTAGGGAGATTATACAATTTGGCTTAAAAACGTCTCTGAAAACCTAAAAATTCCGAATAACTTGGGGTACCTTTGTATGGGGGCTAACCTGAAACATGGACCAAAGTTGATAATTTTTGGTAGAAAGATTTGAGAACCCAAAATACCAAATTGCAGTCAATATTGATAATTTTTGCTAAACCTAAAATTTCCGTATAACTTAGGTTACCTTTGTGTGGGGGCTAACCTGAATTTTGGAACTATTGATAATTTTTGTTAGGAAGATTTGGCACCCAATGAGAATCCAAAATATCAAATTTCAGGCAATTCGGTTGAAAATCGTGACAAATCTACCTAATATTGGAGGGATACCGTTGAATTGAACCAATATTGATCAATTTGGGTTAGGAGGTTTTTTACCACATGAGAACCCATACATAACAAATTACAGTCAATTCGTTTGAAAAAGTGCCGAAATCTCAGAATATCGGACGGCACTTTTATATGGGTGCTACAACAAAACATGATCCGATATTGAAAATATAGCCTGAATTACAAAATTACAGCCTGAATTACAAAATTACAGCCATTTAACCATCATTCCGAAACTTCGACATCCCGAAAAAAAAACTTCGACTTATGAAATGGAACTTTGAGTTATGGAATTAATTCGAATTTGCCCTCCTTAGGGCTAATGTTACTTCGACATATGGAAGTAACATTAGGTCCGCATGTAACGAATATCATCGTTTATAGCGACAAATTTCGCTGGTCCCTCGACCGTCGTTATAAGCGATTTCGACTGTATATACTCCCCAAATCTAACCTTCTCCTAGAGGTTATATCCTGAGGTCCATGAAAACGCAACAAGAAAAAACAAATTATGATTTTTTTTTTTGTTTTGATATGAAAATGAAAGAAGTGCATGAAAAGAGAAACATTTAAGGATGCCACACTAGAAAGGATGAAAAAACAGAATGGAAATGTATCTTCAAACAACAAAAAAAGAATGGAAATGTATCTTCAAACAACACAAAGGATTGCTGGGGGGGAAAGAAGGACGAACATTTGAAACAATAAATAGGTTATATCTTTACTTACCGCATTCTGTTGTTGTTGCTGCTGCGCCTGCTGTTGTTGCTGCAATTGCTGTTGCTGCTGCTGATGCGCCTGTTGCTGTTGTGCCTGTTGCTGTGCCTGCTGTTGCGCCTGTTGTTGCGCCTGCTGTTGTTGCTGCTGCTGTTGTTGTTGCTGCTGTTGTTGTTGCTGCTGTTGTTGTTGCTGCTGCTGTTGTTGTTGCTGTTGCAATTGGGCGGCTGTATTGGCATCGATTTGTCCCTGATTGGCTGCCGAATACCACCACTGTGAACCGGGTACGGCTGCGGCGGCTGCTGCCTGTGCCATATTTAGACGATAATCGTAGGCGGGTGTACCGGCTGCATTGGAGGTGGCAACAACTTGGGCCATCGTTGTGGCCGGATTGGGAAAACTACTGGCCATTTTGTATGTGAAAAGCTGTTGGGTGCCAACACCGGAAGTGGTGTTGGCATTATTTTGATGGGCTTGCTGTTGATTCTGTTGGACGACAACTTGTTGTTGGTGCTGCTGTTGCTGCTGCTGCTGTTGTTGCAATTGTTGTTGTTGCTGGACAGCAGCGGCTGCGGCAGCGGCCTGTTGTTGTTGCTGGGCAACCAATTGTTGCTGATAATGTTGAAGAGTTTGCTGATCAATGGTTTGTTGTTGTTGTTGCTGTTGTTGTTGTTGGTGTTGTGTGGCTGCCGCAGCGAGTGCACCGGGCCACCATAGGGCAGCCTCGGCAGCAGTCGCTTGGCGTTGACCCCAAGCGCTATGTTCTGACATGTTTTTTTCTGTTTCGTTTTACTTTGTGTTTTTTTCTGGGTATTTGGCCAATTGAATTTAATAAATTATCTAACCTAAGATTTATTTGTATGGAACTTTTTTTATTTCTTATAAAGAAGTTTCCACTTGTTGCTTTATTTATTTATTAGTTAACTTTTAACCGGGTATTTTTATGTATTTTCTTAATTTATTATTAAATATTTATTGTATTAGCATTGCTGAACGCATCAGTTGTTGTAGTACTTCCTTGTGTTTCCGAAGTATTCTGTAATGTTAGCAATTTTGTCGTAGTCGTTTTGGAATTTTGTGGAAAATATTGTATTGTGGTGAAGAATATCTTTTCCCTTTGCATTGGTAACAAAAAAAGGTTGTTAAACTTTTGTTGTTGTATTTTTAATTTGTTTTTTTTTACACACTCAAAGTGTTATTAATTTATTTGTACGCGTTTTTGTTCTTTGCATTTGTTTAATTTTGATGTAATTTGCGCGCGTAGTTTATTTGTTTACTCTCGTCGCTGCTCACTCGCTCTCTCTCACAATTGATTTTTGTTATCTCATCACTTGTTGTGGATATTTTTTCTTATTGCAGGCAATTTTAGTTTTGTATTAAGCATTTGTTGCTAATTTCACTTTTGCTTCATTTTTTTTTAAACGGGCATATGCTGTAAAATAAATTTAATTTAATAATTATTGCACTCTGTATAGACGACTCTCACACTTTCCCCACTGTCCATGCACAAAAGAAGAAGAAGCACTCAATGATAACAACACAGTGAAGCAGCAGCCGTCATTTAATTTAAAACGTCAAAAGACATTGGAAAAAAGAAGAAGAAAAAGAATTATACAGTTTAGATAGGTAGTGTCTCGTATAACGCCGTGTGTCCGTTGTTAAAAAAATAAAAAGAACATCAACGTAAATTGAGAAAAGATCCATATGAAATGTAAACTGTTTAATTAAATAGATTTATTAGCACCAAATTGATTATGAAAAACAGGGTTGCCATCATTTTTTGACACAAGAAAAATATGAACATGAATATCAAAATAATAATAAGGGAAATTATGATTTTCTTATCATGGTATATTGAAATAGATCAACATAGAAAAGAAATAAAAATGGAAATAGGGTTGCCATACAGAAAATATATTATTTTTTAATATATGTTAGGTTTCTGCTAGAACCTAGGGAAAATAGGTTTGCAATAAATCGAAAATTCAGAGAAATAAATATTTGCTGGATTTTAAATAAAATTCAACAAAAATCTATTTGTATTGTTCAAAAACAGAGTTGCCATTATGCAAATAACTTTTATGTAAAAAATCCAGATTTTAAAATTTCAAATACAAATAAAGGAAATTCAAGAAAAATTAATTGACAAAAAATCCGCTTGCTTTATTAAACAAAAAAACAATGAAAACCTTTTTGTAAAAAGTTTGAAAATGTTAGCTGGGTTATTAATGGAAAAATGTGGAAATTTCAAAAAAATATATGAAATTGTGTTTCTGTGTTGTAAAAATATAGTTTGCAAACATTTTTTAAAAAATTATACAAAATGTTTGCTGGGTTATTAAATAAAAAATGAAAAAGAAAAAAAGAAAATTTGCTTCACCTTATTTTCATTTAGAATAGCGAATTTCTTTTTTTTAAAAAAAATCAAAACTTCACAAAAATTTTGGAAATTGTACAAAAAGTTTGATGGGATACTAAGTAAAAAATGGAGAAATCCAAGAAAAAGGTTTTACTTGTTTTCATTTAGAATTAAGAAACGTTTTTTTTTACAAAATTTTTGAAAAAGTTTGCTGGGTTACTAAGCAAATATTTCGAAATTTCAAGAAAAGGAAGAAAAATTGGTTTAATGTACTTGTTTTCATTTAGAATAAAGAACAATTTTTCGAAATAAAAAATCGAAAAATTTTAAAAAAAATTATGAAAACTATAAAATGTTGCTGGGTTATTAAGTAGAAAATGAAAAAGAAATCAAGAAAAAAGAGAAAATTTGATTCACCTTATTTTCATTTAAAATAGAGAATTGCTTTTTTTTAGAAAAATCGAAAATTTTCACAAAAATTTTGAAAATTTTACAAAAAAGGTTTGCTGGGTTATTAAGTAAAAAATGGAAAAAAATAAAGAAAAAAGAAAAATTTTGGTTCATCGTATTTCCATTTAGAATAGAGAAAATTATACAAAAAAGTTTGCTGGGTTACTAATTAACAAATTGAGAAATTTAAGAAAAAAAGTATGTTCTACTTGTTTTCATCTGGAATAAAGACACATTTTTAGAAATAAAAAATCGATATTTTTCACAAAAATTTTGAAAATTATACAAAAAGTTTGCTGGGTCAATTAGTAACAAATGGAGAAATTCAAGAAGAAAGAGAAAATTTGGTTCGCTTTATTTTCATTACTAATAAAGAAACATTTTTAGAAATAAAAAATCGATTTTTTTCAAAATTTTTTTGAAAAAAGAAAAAGTGATAAAAGAAATCGAAAATTTTCACAAAAATGTTTACTGGGTTGGGTAAAAAAAATAAAGAAATTGTTCCTATTGTTTTCTTTAGAAGATATTTTCTGGGTTATTGGTATGGAATTCGCTATCGTATTTTTTAGCAAATTTCAAAATCTTCGAAAAAAATCTTTCAAAAAAATCGGGAAATTAAATAATATTCGTGTTTGAAAAAAATCAAGGAAATTCCACAAAACGAAAAGAAATTTATTCCCAATTTTTTATTTTTTTGTTCCCGGAATTTACCGGTGAAAGTTTGTTCGTTTTGTTTTGGCTTTCATAACACGAACCTGGGGGTTATGTGACTAACAAGAAAAGTCAACGAATTGTTTGTTCTTGTTGTTGTGGTGGCATGCCAAGGGGGGAAAACAGGCCAGAGAGCAAAGGAAAATAAAAAATTTGAAAAAAAGGAAAAATGCATTCCAATAGTTTTTTTTTAATAATAATCCAAAATAGGTGAGAAGGCGATGACATTATTCCATGCATGTCTGGTCTGGGTGAGGAGGAGAAGGAAATTGTTTGATTGCACTTTTATTTCTTTTCATTTATTTATTTTTTTTTTTCCTTCTACTGGCTGGTGGAGATATTTTTTCTTCCAATGCTATTGCACACACACTCACTTAAACACTTAAGGAAAAGGGCAATCCCCAAATATAAAAAAGAAACTTTTATTTCCATATCCTTTTGATCTCTTGTTGTTGTGGCATTTTTTCTTTTGTTACTCAAACTTTGATTTTAGTATTTCACACGCAAGGGAAGAAGCAGAAAAAACACAATTCGTTGTAACCAAAAAAAAGTGTGGCACAAAAAGGTAAGGAATACCGACAAAAAAACCAAACCGAACAGCAGACATAACATTCCAAAAATTTGCACAGCAGACGACGACCGACACCCAAACCAAACGTATACACAAACACACACACCCGCCGCCGTTTATACTACACGGCACTCACATAAAAAAAGTTTGTTCTCATCATCATTGCATTACATTTGTTTGTTGTTCCTTTTTTCTATTATTTTGTGTTGTTGTTTTTGCACTTTTTTCCATTCCTCATAGTATTATAATACAAAGTATGCTTTTTTATTTGCCTCTTTGCCAACGATCTCCAGCACTAAACCCGAGGAGCGGAGATGACAATGTCAAACAGTAATAATAATAATACACACCACTCTTCTTCTTTTTCTTATTTTTCTATACTGTACAATTCTTCTTCTTCTATGCACACTAAACACACACACAACAAATCATCATCATACAACATCACACGGTAGCTGCTGCTGCTTCATTTGTTTTTCATTTCATTTTTTTTCTTATTTTCGGAAAAAGATAAAACACACACACCAACATCCTCACGAAAGCAAACTTTTTTCTGTTTATTTTTTTTACTTTTTTTCGTTTGGTTTTTGTATTATTATAGGGCGCGCATTGAATTTACGACTACAAAAGAGGAACAACTTCTTCTTTGGGTTTTTTGTGGTGCTTGCTTGGGATTGTTTTTTTTTTTCTTGTTTGCTGCTGCTGCTTCTTCTTTTTCTTTGATATTGCAGCACACAATGCTTGCTTATGCAGGCATGCACAACACAGAGAGGAGTACAGCCAGTGTATTGTTGTTTGTATATTCACAAATCTATTGTAATACACACAATGGCTGGTCGGTCGGGTCGGCTGCAATGCCGTCGTCGTGTGAGAGGCGTCAATGGTAATAACAAGGAAAAACATGCAGAAGAGACAAAAAAGAAGAAGCATCAGCAGCAGAAGGGAATTGAAAACACACAAACAGAGCATACACACAGTACACCACGGCAAGCAAAATGCCGTAAAAAGACGAAGAACACAATAATAATAAGAAGAAGCAGAATACAATTCACTCACTCTCTATAACAACACACAATATTATATTCACAATGCAATGGTAAACGAACGTACGTACGACGAACAAACTAACGAACGAACAAACGACGTTTCTTTACCGTATGTTTATTGCTTGCCTGCCTACTACTGCTGCTTGCTGCTATACTACTAGCCCTTGGCCACTAATACGTTTGCCTTTACCATCCATATACCAAACAACCAACCATCCATTTAACCCAGCAGCGACGTTGGCGTCGCTGTCAATGTACTGCATGGTTGGTGGCAGAGAGAGAGAGGAGTGATTGTACGTGTTTTCTTATATGCTTTAACAAGCCATCGTCATCATCATCATGGTTGGTTGTCATCATCATGATGTTTGTAGTGGTTGTTGTTTGTGTATTTGCTTGTTGTTATTGTTACTGTATTCTCTGCCGGCAGTGCAGTCAACTTCCCTTTCCCCTATTTTTTCGGCAGTTGAAAATGGTAGTTTGCGTGTGTGTGTGTTTGTGTGTGCGCGCGAAAAATAACATTTTTTGTATGGTGGTCGGTTATGTATGTACGTGTGTGCGTGTGTTTGTATATTTATGTTTGTTGCCAAGAGTTGTGTGTGCGCGTCCGTCTGACAAAAACACAATAGCAGCATAACAAACGTC